AATAGTGAATATTCACCGTTTACGGGTACGAAAAAAATCTCAGATTCAACTGCATAAATAGTGTATACTCGATATTTTGATAACCATAATATTTTAAAAATGATGTGTAATATATAGTAACAAAACGAAAAAAAGAAATCATTTATATACCTAAATCAGAAGTAAAGGCGTCCACCTCGTCGGGCGTATATTAAAGAAAACACACACGCACATGTATTGTGTACACAATAGCACCTTAAATATACCATATGTACACACTCCTCAATTATCGCGCATGGGGTGTAAGCATGTATGGGCCCTTCTTCCTCTTTAGATCACGAATAACACCACCAGCGGCGAAATGATATCGCGTAAACAATGTGGCAGTCCATAGGGTAACCATACATATAATGTAACTATACGCGTAATCATGTGTGTACATATACGAGATGGGCGGGCGTGAAATAAAATCGAATTCTTTTTCGCAGGTATACAGGCACCCCTCGATTCTCTTTCTCTTGATCTTTAATTTTTTTTTTTCCTCTCTTCGCTCCTTCATACCGTATGGGTGTACTGTACAGACTACCTCCCTTCTATACGTATAATTCAATAAATCACAATCCAATTGCAAAGGGCGCGCAGAGAGATATCAATCCGACCAACTTTCCCACCTCCTCCTCGATTTTTTTTTTTTTTTTTTTTTTCATTGTTCTCGACGCTGGCTGTTCCATATACAATGTCACGGTTCAAAATGGTACAACAAAATCGAACATCACTTGCCATCGTCCGGGGAATGTCAGATAATCATCCATATATTTATTTTTTGTAGGTAATTGTTTTTTATACGTACAGTGACTTTTCAACGTGATTGGTGTTTTTCAACGAATGCGCGACCCTTGGATACGCAAAAATAGGAATCATCTGATCAGGTTAAGCACCACACCCGTACCGATCGCAATTGTTTTTATCATTTCCAATTTCCAAATGTGTAAATATATATATATATATGTAGAGGCATCGGTAACGCCCATGCCCACATATGTATATATATATATACGTCTAAATTGCATCGGCAGACATCAGCAGTCGGTCGGTATTTAGACGCCGGTCTAATGTATCGGTCGAACCCATAATTACACAGTCCGAAATATATTGTATGGGAGGCCCGTGCGCTCATATATATATATATGTTTGTGTGTGTGTGTATTTTGAAATAAGCGAAGGGTATACGAGGAGAAGAGGCAGACGCGATAGGTTTCGGAGGAGGGCTTCTTCGCCAACTAATAAATTCTCTTCCAAAATGGCACAGAAGGTTTTTTTTCTTTTTTTTGTTTTTGTTTGTTGGTTTTTTTACCGTGGCGCGCATGGATAAAGCAAAAATATATATTCATTGCCGACACCATCGCCGCGTTAATACATACATTGTATCTCTAATGAGTCACGAGCTTTTCATTTCCTTCTTTTTTTTTTTTTTTTCCTCACACTCTTGATATATTACGTATTCATCCACGTGCAGATGAAAGAAAAGTATAAGAAGGTCAAAAACAACAATCAAACGAGATAGAAATTGTGAGGGGAAAAAAAAACAAAAACAAAAAAACAACAAAAGGTAAAGAGGACAAGCTGTTTTTCGTTGATGAATGAACGTATAGAATCTTTAGGCAAAGCCGGGCATCGCGTGTATACATATACATATGGTTGCATGGGCCGGCCAAACCCCATTTGGAGAAGCGGAAGGAGATAATTTAGAGGCTCGCGAGGATTGAGTATACTTTTCAATCACTTTGTCATTCAGACCCGTGTAGGATACTATATTGTATAAGGTCCGACCCCCTTGAAAATCAAGAAAGTAATTATCACGTCCCAAACTGGGCGTTGTAATTATCTCTAAAGCATAGAGGTTTCAGCGTATATTTATATGTTTATAATTTATACGACTCGGCGCTGTATTGGCTACCACATTAGCGAGGTAAAAAAAAAAAAAAAAAAAAAAGCTAATATCCATTTTAGAGTCAATTACGTGTATACACACTTTTTCGTTTTCTCAAATGAAAAAAACCACCATCGTATAATTTCGATACGTTCCCACGATTGTTACTTCGTTTTTTTACATTTATGCCGATTTGAACATGATTGTCGCAGGTATACAAGGTGAGTATCCTTGTGTGAAATTTTCCTCGAATTCGCATCTTCCGGTTGAACAAAAAAAAAAAAAAAAAAATCAATTAGGATTCACGCGTGGCTGCTCGAACAAACGAGCGGGCCTCCGTGCACCTGCAGCTGTAATGGCTCTTTTGGATTTGCATACACAGCACGACTATACCAATGCTATATTTAAGGGTAATTATGGCTCGAAAAACAGGACAATTAATTACTTTAAACAGGAGAGAGAGGGAATGACTCAGCGATGGTGTAAGTTGCTTTTATTACGATGTGCCAAAATCAGGCTGATCCGATATGTCACAGTGGGTGCGTTTGGTACGTAGGGTGCAGTAGCTCCAACGAGATATCCTTTGACACTTTTTTAATTGAAAACAACAGAGAGTTAATAACATCCGTGGGATGAATTTCAGTCCATTTGGTATACGACGTCGTTAATTTGGAGTGCCATCACAACGAGCGCGACGTCACTCGAGATATAAATGCGAGGGAGACGAAAAAAAAAAAGAAAAAACAAACGCACAGAAATCGGCTTTATTCCTCCCGAGCAATCATGTATACACCTGATGCAGTGTCAGATCGAGATCGTTATTACCACCATCCCTACGAGTCCGCGTCCTCGGTATACACGCATAAGATTATGTTTTGATGCGCGTATATAATATAAGTACGGATATATATCGTCCGAGTTTTAATTCCACGTATAGGTATACGTAACACAGATGTTAATTTAATAAAAGCAGGAGTCGGGGGCAAGGATTTGGGATTGACTGACGTTTAATAAATACCGTGCTTGTGTGACATCTAAAATATTTTCTTATATATTGTTTTTATTCTGATTATATTACCATTTTTATCTCGAGCGAGTTTTTTTTTTTTTTTTTAATCCAGCGGAACATGACTCGATGGTGTATGCATTTTTATCATCATTCATATACAAAGCGGTGCTTATTAAGATTAGCTCGTAAATAACATTTTTTTGTACAAAAGTTTTGGGCACGATGTATACTTGTGTGGACGGGGTATAGCCTGTACCCATACATATTTATACATATAAGCCCGGAATATAACTCCTATTACCTGTTACCTGTATATCTCTGTAACAGACCAGCGTGTGAAGTGTATCCCGATGAATATAATTGCACGTTATCCTTTTACTAAAAACACTCCGAACGTATATATATATATGGATCAGATAGCCACATCGTATGATATTTTTGTAACAAGATCGCGATAAGACTCATCCACATCGTCAAATGAGTGTCAAGGGCACAATCAGGTGAAACGATATACTGTAATACATTTATGTACACTTGCATGCGGGTATTATACAGGGAATCAAGAATATAAATATATATTATGAAATATACGTATGGTTACATGGGTACGCGTTAACGAAAACCGTGTTACTTTTCGTAAGCCGATCAAGTATATATACCTTAGTAGGCATTAATACGATGGGCTTTTTATTTTTATTTTCGAGTTTGTGAGAACTGATGGAACACTTGAGGGGTTAATTGTTCTGCAATGTCTTTTTTTTCACTCATCGAAAGAAAAACGAATACCACCAAGTAACTCTATTTTTTTTCCTTCGTTGTCGCGCGACTAACTCTTTTTCACATAGATGAAAAAAATCCACAAACCATATCCCGAATTGTTTTTGCCGATTTTTAAATTTTTTTGAGGCACATCCTTGAAACTGGACTTATTTTACTCGCAATTTTATGTACTATACGAGAGAACAATCACGATCTCAAATTCCGGTGGAGGTGACACTGTTTTTCCGTGATTTACATGCTACTATTACATTTGCTCGTATTATCCATCCAGAAATACAATTTTAACATGTAAATCGTGGAAAACCGGTGTTACCTCCACTGAAATCGATGTTCACGATTTTTCCCAAACAGCAAACGCGAATCCCGTGACAGTCGAACAAACGAGCCGAGAGTACACATTGCAATGTACCCACACCCACGCGCTTTTCTCACGACAGCTCTCGTCCTCTCGATCGCCGGGCGTATATATACACCTATCGCGTGGTGGTGTTGCATCGGTTAACTTGGCAGAACCTCAAGAAACGCGGGACTAAATTAAACGCACGATCTCGTCTACGCACGAATTATCGCGATGGCAAATCTCGACGGAGGAGGGAAGCCTTGGGACCTGTTCTCGCCCCGAGGAAGAGGAGGAGTTGACCGGGGATAGTTCGATTGATATATTTTTGATGCCTTTATCAGCAAAAAGTGATGCATCGCCATCTGACCTTATCCCCTTGAGGCCAATTTACTCACATCTTTCATCTACACCTATGAGACACGCTGGCTTTGATATATAAATACAATGCAAGTGGCGCGTCTTTGTCGTAAACATAATACATAATGGGTCCGACGTTTTTGGCACCTAAGATATAAGTGTCTGTATTTGTTATATGTGTGTGCGCGTGTAAAATAAACATATAAAAAATAGACTAGTCATTCCAAGGAGGGACAGTGAAGCTCAAGAATAGAGAGAGAGAGAAATTGAGGGTATGGCTTGTCCTTCCCTCTCGTACACGCGTGCATGGGGTTGAGTGCATGAAAGTATATGCATTAATTATATGCAGTTGTGTGCTTTCCCCTACATTTCTCCTAATGTATCTACACATATATTATACTCCCACTTTCCACTTTGCGCGTGTGCGACAGAGAAAGACTGACTATACCTTCGACTTTTCTCTCTTTCTTTCCAGGTGCGATTCACTGCCTTTGTTTGTACCAATTTACCAGTCTATTATTCATATGCCTATTAGTAACTTGTACTTCAGCAGTTAAGGTCACATATAACTTTTATTCCCTCCCGGCACTCCACTTCTCGCAGCCATGGCTGATCACACCGACACCTTTTTAAAGTAAGTACTTGCAATTCACGTGTGATTTGTTAATACATAATATTTTCTATCTTTACAATTTATTCACAATTTGTTGTACTCGCTTGGAAACTTTTCTGTGGAATAATTGTATCTGTTGAATAGAGTATTTTTTTCAAACCAAAAGTTAGGGTTTCAGCCGTTGGGGCGTAAAAGATCGTATAACACCCACGGGCAGAAGTAAAAAAGCCTCGGATATTTCCTTTTCCATACGTATCCTTATAGCTTCGCCTTAAACTGTAAATTAGATAATATACTGTGACAATCTTTAGACTTTCTTTACTTTTTCAGTACAACGCCGTGATATGCTACTATATTATATAATATATATTAGAAGTGTGCAATATACGCCCCGCTGAAATAATAAATACAAGTTACGTTTGAATTCATAAATTACATGATTTTATGATATATTCATCATAATATATTCTCGACACAAAATAATACAACTTGACTATTACGTATTACTATAAAGATTAATCATGTACAGGCAAGTTAAGTAAGGAATGTCCTGCTTATTACTATATACCTTCGACTTAAACCTTATCATTCATCAGTTTGTATTTAGTAAGTAGTCATGAGTCACTTTCGAGTTACGTGTGATGTACCAAGAACCTTGTATTTGGTCATTTAAAAATAATGCTATTTGTGTCCAATACTTGAATAGTGCGTCTTTTTGAAGGACAAAAGAACACTTTTTACCAGATATCTGTACTCTATATATGAACGTAGAAAAATTTAATTAATGACGTAATAGAACTACAAATCGTGAAAAGTAAAATTTCAAGTGCGTACAAGTGCTAAGAATGCGGCTTTTGTCACAAAATAATTAAACTTGCTGTTTCAAATGACTGACTAGAAATAATAAAATTTCCTAAAGTGATGCATTAATGTAATTTTTTAAAAAACGTACGTATAAATCATACAAGCGACTTAAATGCAAAACATGACATTTTGCATGTATATAAGGCACGACCGATCCACGGATTGACAGAGCAAAAAGTGACATTAATATTAAAGTGTATACATACAAACATCATAAGACCTACTCAGTCCACCCTCATGTTGGGCTCAAAATATATATTTTTCTTACTTTGGGCATTTTTCTTCAGTTTTTGGACGTTTTCTGCGCCCTCAGAAAAAATATAGTCGACACCTATAGTGCGCATTTAATCAGGGCAAGCACAAAGAGTCCAAGGTTGGCGCTTATCTTGGAAAGGTTACACTTTTTGCTCTGATAAAAATTTTAAGGCCCTCCCATATAATTATTAAGTAGTGTTTTTCACGGATACATATTGTTATAAAGATATATTAATACCTAGTATCATAATTATGATCCATCAATATAAAAAAAAAAATACGATACAAATTGTTACTAATTACATTGATTTTCATTCCGTTTGTCACACAGCATTACTCAATTCCAATGGCTGATTGGTGTACCATTAGTGTTGGGTATAGCAGTAGGCAATACTATGATTATAATTGTTCAATGTCTAAGCAATCGACGATTTGGCGGAATTCCCAATCCATTTATTTTCAATCTTGCAATTGCGGATCTCTTCAATGGTTTGGCAATACTCTGTTGGCTGATCCGACCTCGAGACCTTAGTGACTCTTCAAGTGCTGCTGGTAAAATTTGGTGCATAGCTCCGTAAGTAAAAATACAAATAAATACTATAATTAAAAGTAACTCTATTTTTTTTCCTTCGTTGTCGCGCGACTAACTCTTTTTCACATAGATGAAAAAAATCCACAAACCATATCCCGAATTGTTTTTGCCGATTTTTAAATTTTTTTGAGGCACATCCTTGAAACTGGACTTATTTTACTCGCAATTTTATGTACTATACGAGAGAACAATCACGATCTCAAATTCCGGTGGAGGTGACACTGTTTTTCCGTGATTTACATGCTACTATTACATTTGCTCGTATTATCCATCCAGAAATACAATTTTAACATGTAAATCGTGGAAAACCGGTGTTACCTCCACTGAAATCGATGTTCACGATTTTTCCCAAACAGCAAACGCGAATCCCGTGACAGTCGAACAAACGAGCCGAGAGTACACATTGCAATGTACCCACACCCACGCGCTTTTCTCACGACAGCTCTCGTCCTCTCGATCGCCGGGCGTATATATACACCTATCGCGTGGTGGTGTTGCATCGGTTAACTTGGCAGAACCTCAAGAAACGCGGGACTAAATTAAACGCACGATCTCGTCTACGCACGAATTATCGCGATGGCAAATCTCGACGGAGGAGGGAAGCCTTGGGACCTGTTCTCGCCCCGAGGAAGAGGAGGAGTTGACCGGGGATAGTTCGATTGATATATTTTTGATGCCTTTATCAGCAAAAAGTGATGCATCGCCATCTGACCTTATCCCCTTGAGGCCAATTTACTCACATCTTTCATCTACACCTATGAGACACGCTGGCTTTGATATATAAATACAATGCAAGTGGCGCGTCTTTGTCGTAAACATAATACATAATGGGTCCGACGTTTTTGGCACCTAAGATATAAGTGTCTGTATTTGTTATATGTGTGTGCGCGTGTAAAATAAACATATAAAAAATAGACTAGTCATTCCAAGGAGGGACAGTGAAGCTCAAGAATAGAGAGAGAGAGAAATTGAGGGTATGGCTTGTCCTTCCCTCTCGTACACGCGTGCATGGGGTTGAGTGCATGAAAGTATATGCATTAATTATATGCAGTTGTGTGCTTTCCCCTACATTTCTCCTAATGTATCTACACATATATTATACTCCCACTTTCCACTTTGCGCGTGTGCGACAGAGAAAGACTGACTATACCTTCGACTTTTCTCTCTTTCTTTCCAGGTGCGATTCACTGCCTTTGTTTGTACCAATTTACCAGTCTATTATTCATATGCCTATTAGTAACTTGTACTTCAGCAGTTAAGGTCACATATAACTTTTATTCCCTCCCGGCACTCCACTTCTCGCAGCCATGGCTGATCACACCGACACCTTTTTAAAGTAAGTACTTGCAATTCACGTGTGATTTGTTAATACATAATATTTTCTATCTTTACAATTTATTCACAATTTGTTGTACTCGCTTGGAAACTTTTCTGTGGAATAATTGTATCTGTTGAATAGAGTATTTTTTTCAAACCAAAAGTTAGGGTTTCAGGGCATGACTGAATATTTTNTCGTTCACAGTCAAAGTCTCTTCCTTCCCCTACTTTATCCTCGTTAAAGTTTTCTTCGTCAGAAGAATCCTCTTCAAACATGACTGTCGAAACTGTTGCCATATTTTATACAAAAATACAGGAATATCCTAAATATCACAATCGGAAACAATTATAAAAACTCTTGTGATATAACCTATAACCACACAATGAATGGCTTGTTTTCCTTCTATCTCTCTCCCTCTCAATGTAACGAACTTTCCACTGAGTGTGATATAAAAGTGTATACGCACCGCGAGACTAAAGCAAGCCAGCGAGTGGCTATTGCTTGTAGCGCCCTCGCTACGCTCGGGCGCACACTACAACAGCCACGAACTGGCTTGCTTTAGTCCCTTGGTACGTAATATACTATTTCTTTTGTCTTATACGAAAACGTAATTTTATGTTATTTTTAAAAACTATTACGCCGAGTAAATTAAAAAAATTCATGTCCTTTTAATGAAAACAGCGAAATTCTCGTGGACGTTGGCTGCACTGCGAGTTTCTACATCATCGGGGCAATTGCTGTTGACCGTTACTTTTTAATTATTCATCCAATCAAGCACCGAAAATACGTGACGAAGCGCTTAGTCTCAACTACAATTGGTGTTATTTGGTGCGTAACTGCTCTTATATCAGCAGGACCTATTTACTGGATCAACACTGACATGCAAAGTAATTGCAGTAACTATAAAGTTGAAGTGAGGTAAATAAACGATCTTTGGTTTTTTCGGGATGAAAAATAATTTATTATTTTTTTTAACATATGTTACTGGAGTCATCTGATATTTTCAGGTATTACGACAAGTACGTTTTACTACCAAATTCATTAATAATATGGCTGATCCTCTTGATAGCTTACTGGCGAATTTGGAGAGCAGCAAAAACATACACGATGGAATTGAGAACGAGATCCGTAAAAGCTGGCTATAAGAGTAATATCAGCAATAGAAAGAGCGATTTGGTGAGTATTTCAACCTACGCCGTAACTTTGGTTTCTAAATGTAGTTAAAAACTTTTTTTTGTTTCTCTATAGGCGGTAATCACTATTCTAGGATGCCTCACTGTTTGCTGGCTGCCCTATATAGTACTGGAATTATTAGCAGCATTTAGTTTATACAACAACGACAATGCACTATATTTCGTGACTTTAATAGGACTTTGCAACAGCGGTATAAACCCAGTTATTTACGCTTGGAGGAACCCAGCCTTTCGGGAAGCTTATCGCCGCCTTTTTAGGCGTAAAGCACCAAATAATAATTGCAATGTTTCATCTGAAAATAATGTGAACAAAAATAGCGAGTCGAAGCAAGATGATAGTCACTATATCGATGCTATTACCTTAGGGACAATCTCAGCTGAAGTTGATTCAATGGTACCAATAAATAGATCGTAGTTTCTTCACACAACAAAGGGTGACTTTGCTTCACCGGAGGGGGTTTCATATGTCCAGGAATATCTGATTTTTGCATGTAGGTGTACTTGCTATGTATCCATGTTGATGTATGTAAAGTAAATTAAATCTCTTGCGGCGTGTTAAGTTCAAAGTTTGTTACATTTAACAATTTGTTACCTATAAATTTTCAAGTAAACAAGATCGATGAACAGCATTTAATTTTTTTTTTATTAATGATAAGTAAATGTTACCGTATAGAATGGAAGAAAATTTTTACATAAACTGATATGAGACGTTTAAATCTTTTGACTTACCACTTTAGGTAAATATTGTTTTTAGTAGTTTAATTTATTTTCATGTGTATAGTATAAGTATAAAATTTTGTATTTGTATTAACATTTAGCATTGCTCTATAAAACCCTCTTTTTCTGTATTTTTTACTCAATAAGTAGCATATTTATATTCTTTTCCGCCCTCGGGTGATTTCGGGAGGCTGGTACTTCCTCGGGCGAAAAAGCAGTTTTCCGGAACTCGTTCAAAAAGTCTCCTTTACGAACCTCGTTACGTCCCTCGCCTTCGGCTCGGGCCGCAAACCTCTCGGTTCGCAAACAAAGACTTTTCAAACTCGTAGGAAAACTACTATTAATAGGTATTGGTTAAAGAATCTTTATGACAACTCCAACCACATTAATCTTTCTGACGATTACTATTAATTTTTTTATTTCCTTTGCAAGAATTAAATTGATAAATATTATTGGGTCATTATAGATAACGACAATAAATTATTCTTATGAAGAAGTAATGATAATTAATAAAAATTTTTCTCAGTAAGTTTTAATTTATTATAATTCATCAACAGTTATCAGTTTATATTTTTTTTTTCTTTTTAGTTTACAAGGTATTATTAACGGCAAAAAGAAAAAATCATTAGTAATAATAAACAGTAGTAATAATTACTCAACTCTTTTCTCAGTCTCACATCTGGACTTGATGATTTCTTATCATCAATTTTAATCACTTATTAGTTGTATTCGCTAAGATAATTTTTACTTACGTGCAAAGCAATATCTTCTTGAATTTTGACATTTGTAGGTACATTGAAAATAGTTTCATCATTTTCAAGCTCTTCTCTTTTTCTGTCTCAAAGACAACTGCACTTTTCTTATGACTTACGGGTGATTCAAATGTTTTAATTTAGTATTCGTTTTATCAGTTGATCACTTTTTTGACAATATATTCCACGTAACGTAAGAAATTAGAGTACGGCTTAACCATAACTATTTGTACCTTCGGGCTAACCAAAGACTCGTTCTGTTCGGGGTGAACAACCTCGAGAACAACCATAGTGGAAGGAAAAAGCTTTATTATGTTATCTCAGTTCTCCTGTATTTATACTCCCACTTTGCGTGTGTGCGACAGAGAAAGACTGACGGTACCTTCGACTTTTCTCTCTCTCTTTCCACGTGCGATTTACTGCTTTTATTTGAAACTATCAGTCAACGATTGACATGCCTAATAGTAACACGTCCTCAAATAATTGGTTACGTATACTTTTATTCCCTCACAGCCATGACTGATCAGACCGACACCTTTTTAACGTAAGTACTTGCAATTCACGTGTGATTTGTTAATACATAATATTTTCTATCTTTACAATTTATTCACAATTTGTTGTACTCGCTTGGAAACTTTTTTGTGGAATAATTGTATCTGTTGAATAGAGTATTTTTTTCAAACCAAAAGTTAGGGTTTCAGGGCATGACTGTAAGCATATTTTTATGAGTTAGCGGCTTGAAAAAGTGAACATTTTTGAATTCCCATCGACTGCGCGAACGGCAAAATTTACCTTCCAGGCACTGAGCCATCCGCGGCTGGGAGTATACACAAAAAAGCCTCAGATCGTCCATTTATGTATTTTTTTTCTCCTTGGCTTTGCCTCCGATGACAGTACTCGGACTAAGTATCCGAGGCTTTCTTTACTTTTCCGGCCTTGGATAGTAACATACTACTATGATATTATGTATATGCTAGACGTGCAAAATGCCCATGCGCTGAATTGGTAAAATTTACATTCAAATTCATTCGTAACATAGTTTTATGATATAGTTGTCATTTGTCGGTTGACAAAATACTCTGACAATCTCATATTTAATGTACTTTTTCGGCCTGGGGTCGTGATATACTTCTACTAAAGTGTGCAATATGCACGTTATAGTATAGCCGAAAATTTGTATTTCCTCTTTTGGAGGCACTGCAGTAAAAGTGTTTGGGACTTTTGTTCTCTTCAGTGGAACTTGTCCAAATTCAAATCATCACCTTGTAAGATTTTGAACGCGCAGATGTCTACAAAATTTTGGCCTGGCCAAATAACAATTAATTTAATTAATCAAGAGCCTTGATCACGTACATATTTACACTTATAAAAAACATAAGACCTCCTCAGTCCAACTTCATATTGGGCTCAAAAAATATTTTACGTCGTAGATAAATAATGTAAAAGTGATTTCACTTTTTTGCTTTGACAAAAATACAAGGTACTCTCATTTATGGGTCAATCGTATTTTACAGATACTCATTGATAAGGAGAAATATATTGTAATGCACATATAATCTATATATTAACATCGAAAGGAATATTATACTGATTATTACTAATTACATTGTTGTTCATTTCTTATGTCACACAGTATTGCTCAATTTATTCATTTGGCCAACGTAGTGTTGATTGTGGCCATACTAGTGGGCAATACGATGATTATAATTGTTCAATGTCTAAGCCGTCGTCGATTTGGCAAAATCTCCAATCAACTGATTTTCAATCTTGCAATTGCGGATCTCTTCAATGGTTTGGCACTACTCATTTTTACAGTTCAACCTCAAGATTTTAGTCACTTTTCAAATTATATTCGTAAAATTTGGTGCATAGTTCCGTAAGTACAAATACTTTAACTTGAAAAAAAAAGTTAATAAATAAGATAATATCTGCTAGTTGGTGTAGTGTAATTTATCTCTCGCCTTGTACGAAAGAGCTAATCTTTCAATTCAACAAATTTACGTGGTTTAAATGTAAACAGCGAAATTCTTGGATACGCTGGTTGCACTGCGAGTTTCTACAGCATCGGCGCCATAGCTTTAGACCGGTATGTTGCGATTCTCCATCCGTTCAAGCATCGAAAGTATGTGACGAAGTGGTCTATTTCTGCCACCATAGCTATTATTTGGTGCATAACTGCTTTAATATCAACCGGACCCATTTTTTGGATCAACACTGACGTACAAAGTAATTGCTACAACTATTCTGCTGAAATAAGGTAAACAAACGATCTTTGGTTTTTTCGGAATGAAAAATAAATAATTTATTAATTTTTTAAACTTGTACTACTGAATTTGTCTACTTTTTCCAGCTATTACGACAAGTACATTTTCATACCGAATGTCATGATGGTATGGCTGGTCCTCCTCATAGCTTACTGGCGAATTTGGAGAGCAACAAGAGCATACACGAAAAGGTCGCGAACGAGGTCTAAAGAAGTTGGTCAGATAAGTAACATCAGCAAGAGGAAGAGCAATACGGTATTTAAAATTAAAACCTAAATCGAATCTTTAGTTTTTGCACATAGCTGAAAGTTTGTTAATGTTACAAATAATTTTTTTTGTTTTTCAAGGCGGTACTTACAATCCTTGGATGTTTTTCAATCTGTTGGCTGCCTTACATGGTCGTACAATCGTTAAGAGTTTTTTTTTCATACGAGAAGTTTGCTTTGTTATATTTTACGACTATGATAGCACTTTGCAACAGCGGTATAAACCCAGTTATTTACGCTTGGAGGAACCCAGCCTTTCGGGAAGCTTATCGCCGCCTTTTTAGGCGTAAAGCACCAAATAATAATTGCAATGTTTCATCTGAAAATAATGTGAACAAAAATAGCGATTTGAAGCAAGATGATAGTCACTATATCGATGCTATTACCTTAGGGACAATCTCAGCTGAAGTTGATTTGAATGTAACAGGACAGGGATCGTATTTTTTCTAAGCGATAAAGGGTGACTTAAATTTACATGGCTGATGTATAGAGAAGGTTTTGCAATCTTAACAAAATGACGAGTCAAAATCTTTATACTTGATCATTTTAGACAAACATTTTCATCAAAGGCTTAATTTATTTTCATGTGTATTGTAAGCATAAAATTTTGTATATGTATACCTATATTAAAATTTGGCGTTACTCGATAAAACCCTCTTTCTCTGTATCTTTTACTGAATAAGTAGCAGATTTATAATTTGAAATAACAGTAGATAAATAAGAATCTACGTAAAAGAGAGTTTGACTGTTCCCCGTGTGTAAGTGTACAAGCGTAGTTCAATGCATATAATAATATATAACCTTAATTATTAATTATTACGACGTGCTAGTGGTCTTATAGCCGTAGACGAACACGACCGATACTTGCACTGATAAGCAGATATATGTATATTATAATATATTATGCGATGGCGAGATTGATACAGCGTGTGGAAATATATATGAGAGGTGGGGGATGTAGGATTCAGGTCTATCAAGTCTTGTACGCAGACAATAAGATTTTGTGCCAAGTTTTGCTGATTGTTTTAAATGTTTCACTGGTTTGATTGATGAATGTATGAAAAAAAGTTTAAAAAATCAATACATAAATGAATTTCAAGCTCAACCAAAATAGTCTTTTCTTCAAAGCTTACCATTGAAAGTACCGAAAATAATTTCATTACCTTTCATAAAATTTCTTCGACTTTGAATCCTAACCCACATGAGGCATATTCCACAAAAAATATCCCGTTGCAGTCCCCCACCCTGTATGAGTTTTTTTTTTAATTTCATGCGCTATCATTTGTTACTTTGATAATACACCTACAATAAGGTGAAGGATACTGTTGCTGGGACGAGAAATCATATCTAATCACAACTATTTTTAGATTCTTTTAATGATTCTATGGAATACAGAAAATTACCTCTTGAAAAAAACCCCTTCATTTAGGATGAGTCATTTATACATCGTCATCTTCGCTGCTTCCAAAGGTGCACCTCTTACTTATTATATTTTCCATAAGTAACAGATCATAGAGACATGTATTACGTACACAGTGGTATCTTCACGTCCCTCAACAGGTTGGGTGTAAGGACAATTAATAGTGAAAAGAGCAACGCGCTACACGTAAGCATGTATACACACACACACACATATATATATATATGCAACACGTACAATCTGATAAAAAGAGAGACTAACAAATGACAATGTCGAACTCAAAGGGGGAGAGGGGGGGGGGAAGTGCTCTGTCCGAGGGTCCCCTTTTTCTCGCTATCTCCTCCCTCGCATCTCTTCTTCGAGTGATGGTAGAGCGCGCGCGTGCATACTTTTCGACTTGAAAAAAATTAATGATTGCAGATTGTCGCGAGCGCCAAACACTATATATATATATATATATATATATATATATATGTCTCGAGTTATTTCCACGCAGCTTACATTAATACCCCCGAAATAAATATACATACGCGTCTACTTGAATGGCACCCCCGAACCGATTTGCCGTGCACATAATGTATTATAATATATTCTCGAATTGAGCGGTCTTGCTTTAACGGCCTGCATTTATATACTTGAGTATATATCTCAAAGACAAATACTCGGCCATTTGTTCGCGTCCGACCAACTACCTTTTAATATACCTAACTGCTCATCGTCGTACCTGAGAACAAAAGAGTAGGTACATTAACATGAGCACGCCTCGGTCATTTACAATTCGTGCCAAAAGAGCGTGTACGTGCGCGTGAAAGGTGGCAATTGCGAAGGTACGTCTCAATCCGAGCCGAGGCACTACTGTCTTCCTTGCCGATCTCCTTCTTACGACCTTTATCAGCGTGGCCGTGAAGCATCGGGTTAAAAATGCGTCAGGTGCACCAGGGGAATCGAATAAAGAGCCAGTGAGAGAGAGATTAGCGATCGGCAGTGATGCGAGGGGGGGGGGAGGCTCGATCGGCGATTGGGACGATTATTCCAGCCTGCGTTTATATAATCGATCGGTTTCTTTCTCCGGCCACGTGCGCGAGATTGGGATCGGAGTCCTCGAGTGCGAGAGGGGCGATGGAGAGTTTTTACTTGTTTTACACAAAGTGTGCGATGGAATCGTTAGGGTGTATTATCAACAACAATATCGTTACATCGACAAAAACGTTTAAAATATACACAAGCAATCGTTTTGACATGGTACACAAATTAAAAAAAAAAAAAAAAAAAAGTAATTGCAAGTAAAATAATTTTAAAATCACTACAAAATACAATGGTACGTATAATATCGTGGGTGATGAATTCAATTTTCGCTCTGAGCCTTTTTGACGACGTCCTGATTCTTCCACTGTTTGAGCTCGTTGCGCCGGTGCACCTTGAAGGTGTGCTCGTCCTTGAACTCCAGTGCGCAGTACGAGCACTTCCAAATGGTGTGCTTGAAATTGACGTGGACCTCGAGATCTTGGGCGACGTAAGCTTTGAATTTGCACATGGCGCAAGCGTACTTTGGCTGGCAGAGTTCTTTGACGTGTTTGTAAGTGTACTTGTGATTCGCGTATATGTTCTTGCACTTGAGGCACTGGTAACACGCGAGACACGTGCATGTGGGACATATCGGCTTGCCCGTCACTTTTTGCAGTCGGGCGTTGATGTTTTTGTTGCATTTCGTGCAATACATCGCTATGAGCTTCTCAACGTCTGGAAGAAGATAACAAGTCTCGTCAGAATGAGGTTGCTCCGCCGGTCGTCCTCTGGATTCGTCCGACTTACGCTTGTCGCCAAGGACGGACTGATTCGCGGTGCACTTGTACAGATGGTTCATTAAACACCGGTAGCCGGCGTAATTGCAATTGCACCTCAAGCATTTGTATATCGTGTGGTAGGTTTTAATGTGTGTGAAGAGGATGTGTTTGCGCGTCGTGTAGAACGAGCACAGCTGGCACACCATCTTGTTTTTCGGGTTGCACTCGTTCTTGACGTGCAGATAAATGGCCTTGGACTCGGTGAACATGAGCCCGCACAGGGTGCATCGGTAGTCGTACTTGTGCTTGCACTTTTGGCACGTCGGCCTCTGATCCGAGGATTGCTTCATCGAGTATCTCTGACAATGTTGGCAGTAATAGTCGACCATGTAGTTCCAATCCGATCGACCTGGGGACAAAATTTTGTTTGAACTATGAACTTACGAACATAAGTACAATCAAGTGGCAAGTAGTATTGCGACGATGAGGAGATCTTTTACCTGATTCTTTCTGAGATTGGCTAGTTATCTGTTGTATTATACTTGCTGGGTCTCGATCCACAACTAAGTAATTTTGATCAGAGTGAAAAGATTTCATATCACTCTGCAGCATCTCCTCCTCTACTGCATCGTCCATAAGATAGGGATGGACTTTGGTAAAGCTGTCATTGACCTTTTCTATTACAGTGACTTTTGAAACCTCTGTAGAAAAAATTTTAATCAAGAGTGGCCCATTACTTCGCGTTCATCATTGATGTACCTTACCTTTGGGCGTCAAGTGTACAATCTTGGCATTGGCATCAGCTTTGCTCCACTTTGGTAAACATTTGGCTATGACCTTATGCGCTGCCAATGCCTGGGCGTTTTCAAATTTTTCTTTGCAGTTGGAGCACTCGTCAGGCATGTGGTAGAAGTTAATGTGTGCCAAAAGCACCGACTTCTCCCTAGTCTTGAAGGTGCAGTGATGGCAAGACATCATATCCAGGCAAACGAAGCAATCTACAACGTGCCTTCGAGCGTTCCTCAGAGTTACATATGGCTTGTAGCACAGGGCACACTCAAACAGCATATCTTGGTTACAGGTCCGGCATTTGGGTTTCCCGGATGTATATTCCAGAAGATCGTTCGTGACTACGTTACATATTTTACAGGGAAGCTTGATGAAGTAGTCTTCTTCCGCAAATTTTGGATACAATGAGAATTTGTCTACCTTGTTTGAAACAGATTCAACTTTTGGCGGAACTTGAGGCGGTGCTTCACGGTGATGAATGTTAACGTGCAGATCCAATTTTTCCTTACTGAGAAAACTAAAGTGACACTTGGAGCACCAGTAGTACCTTTTTTTTAAACACGTGAATTTTACATCTTTGTTGTCGTTGAGCAGATTCCGACGTTTGGTAAACTGCAGCAAGTACTGATGGACGCTGCTGAGGTAAGCATAACGCTTAAAACATTGGCTGCATTGGAGTTTCAAGAGAGTCTTGCACGTCATACATTGCGTCAGGTCTTTGCGGTAAAAAGACGACATGTCACACTTGGAGCAGTAGAGTTTGATATACCTCATGCAGTCTGTAAGATAAATTATCTGTGGTACAACTATTACTGTAGGTATTTATTATAGCTTTTGAATGTAATAAAAAAAAATACGCACTGCACTTTGTCTTGTCACTGTTTGAGGCATTGAGAACTGCAACAAGTTAATTTTCTTTAATATATGGTACAAAATTTCTAGACTCAAACATATGTATGATCAATACCTTCGTTCTTAGAGGATGGCACAGCGTTTGGAGTAATCGGTGTGGCTTCTTTCTTCGATGGAACATTGTTGCTACTGTTTGCAGAACTCTCTTTATTTACAAGACTTTCAATGTTTTTGACAGTAATAGTAGGCTGCTTTTTAGGTACTGCAGAGATAGTGTTTAAAATAGGCTGTACATTACCATGCAGTACAGGATTGGGTACTGAAGTGTGCTTGTTGCCAGAAGGCGGTACAGAAGTTTTTTTCCCCACAGGTTTTTTCATAGAATACTGTTTTGTTGCAGTTGTAGGGTCAAATTGTTTTACATTTCTATCGTTTTGTTTGGGAAGGTTGAATGAATGAACAACTTTTTTAGAATCTGAAAGTGGTTTTGATAAGTAGGCAGTTTGCCAAGTGGAAGCTTAATCAAATGCAATATATACTTCAATTAAAAGAATAAATAAGGATTCAAAATAACCTGTAGGTGAAACAACAATATGTTTTGGTACCACATTCTTTTGTTTCTGGATAGAATGACTGGTATTACTAATCTTATTTGCATTACGTTCACTGATTGATTCTTTTTTGTTTTCAATTGGTTTTTTGCTATTATGAGGTACTTGTTTGGATTCATGTTTATATTTAACAACTACCTTGTCATTTTTTTTTAATAACTCTTGCACATTTATTATTTTTGGAATACCTACAAATAGAATAAATTAGCTGTTTTTTTTTTAAATAGTGCATTACTATTAACAGTTAACTGAAAAGATACACCAGCCTACCAGGAGAAGCATGTTCATGAGCAGAATTATGAAAAATTTCATCTGTTAAAACAATTTATGGAAAAATTAATTTTTTTTTTAATGATAAATGGAAATAGTACTAGTATATTAATATATGAAAGCTATGTTAAAACAATAGGTCGTCCTTTATACTGATTTACAATCAAAACCATTTACCATTGTAAATATCAACATCTACAATTTCTTGCTTTATCTTTTGATCAAAGGCTTCTTCTTGAATACAAACATCAATTTCAAGAGGATCTATGCAATTATAAACATATGATTAAACGGTAAGTCCAAAGTGTATAAAATGGTAAAAATAATTAATACCCTTTTCTGGCTGAGAAATAGGGTAACCACTATTTGCATCGATGAAAGACATCATAACTGATAAAATGCCAAAAAAAATTGGCTACCTCTAGTGTTAACAGCAACTGAAGCTTAAAAAATTAATATCACATATTTTTGTATGTTGTTTAGTCTACTGCCTTGTTTTCGTTGCATTCATTAGCAAATTTGGGTGTAACCTATACATTTTCTAGGTTAAGTCTAAAACTAATTAACTGTTTGTTTTTCTCTGCAAAAATTGATATACATAGTTGAAAGACTATCATGATGACTTTAATTATGTTGTTATGAATAATAAAAATTACCATGACTACAAAACCAGTATCCAAACAGTGATTAATAACTAAGCAAATCATGGCAAAGAGTAGATTTTTGTCACTTTTCACATTGAAAACAATCTTTATTTGCGCAATTATTAGTGAAACTTTAATTTTTAATCACTTATCTTTTCATAGCAATGATCAATTTTTTTTTATCATTGATTATATTTGTGACACGACGGAAAATCACTAAATTGCTGAGAACTGTTTTATCGATTGGGTACGAAAACGTTTATAACCACACATCACGTTTCATGTATAGCCTATTAGAAAAAGATGAAATAATTTTGTATATTATGATATAATGACTTGAAATGTCGATACGCAATCAGACTTTCACTAGCAGTTACAAAAGTTTCGTTATCTTAAAAGGTATTTCATGATAAAAATATCCAAAACTATACTGACCTCTAAAGTGCCCACGAGATGACCACGAGACAAAAGGAATGTCGGTATTACAGACACCTGTTGCTCGGAAGATAATGTCTTGGTGTGGAGATGATTCGCATTTACAGTTATACATATTTACGAGTAGAAATTATGCATGTTAGACAATTACACACTTTTTTTATTGATTATTCCCTTGTTCTTGGTGTGTACACTTTTTCTTTATTTATACACACAGCTTATTTTATTGGTACAGAGCACATTGTGCAAAAAGTATGTTCGCTTCTTTATCATCTGGTTGGTTACGCCTGTACCACATGTGTGCACATGGTTACGCCGTTACGTATATATGATACCTCTGAATCCTCTGATGTATATACGTATATGTACATAATATTTATATTGCTTTTGTGCTTTTTATATGATATATCTTTTTACTCCATATTCATATCGATGTCGTCATGTCGTGTTCGCTTTCCTACCGATTAAATCGCTTCATCCGAGGCTTCGTCATCGCCAAATTTTTTTTTATATCCTGATGTATTTTTTACAGCTGCTCTATATACTCAGTTGTTATTATTTTTACGCACAGCCATTCTTGACATTATGATTTCCCGAAAAGAATTTAAGTCCCAATTTAAGTTATCTTTACCGGGAATCGAAAGCAATTAACATTATTTTCGTGACAAACGCTAATCATTAAACGAACATTGTGCTCAGATGAGTAAAAAAAAAAAGTAATAATGATATCAACGAAAAGTGAAAACGGTAGTACCTAATATAACCTAATTATGAAACAAAAAAATTAATAAAAGTGAACTGTGTGCACGCAGGTTAATTGAAACTATACATATATATACACACCTTTTAGTTATAACAATAACACAGTATGCTGTGTTACCGACTGTGTAAGAAAACGAGTAGGAAGTGGCAAAAAGCGCGATCGTCAGACAGTTCATCAGTTGGTCAAACCAATTTTATATTTGTTCAGCACGTGCAGCTGCAGGCTGCAGATTGCAGAGTACACCACTACAGCAGATGTGCAGATGCTGCAGAGTTACACGTGCAATCACGTTAATCATATACCGTGTAAACTAGTGTAAACATATAGCAGACGAATGTATGTACGTATACATGATGATTTGAGTAACATATGTTGTTAATGAATATTCATGACTAAACTTTGTTCTTAATTTTTTTTTGGTAGAGTAAAATTGTACGTCAAATAAAAATGGTGGATATAGCAAGTAATCTGAAAATTATTTGCGATAAACTTGTTGCTGCCTCTGCAAAACGAGCACCGGTAATATGTTTGGAGACTACACGATTTTCTTAAAGAAATTCAATATGCTTAGTTTCTTTATCTATATATATTTTATACTTATTTTACAGGAATTTCAACATTTTCAACCTAAACTAGTGGCAGTGAGTAAATTTCATCCTTCAGAAGCAGTAATAAAAGCTTACGAAGCAGGACACAGGCATTTTGGTGAAAATTACGTTAATGAATTATCAGAAAAGGCAAACAATGCAGAAATTCTAGAAAAGTGCAAGGAAATAAAGTGGCATTTCATTGGACATTTACAAAGGGGTAATGTTAATAGACTATTGAAAGTGGAAAATCTTTATCTGGTTGAAACTGTTGATAGTGAAAAAATTGCTGCTGCCCTTGATAATGCTTGGCCAAAATTTAGAAAAAGCGATGCCAAGTTGAAAGTTATGGTCCAGGTTAACACCAGCAGAGAAGAAGGTATCATGTTTGTTTTCTTATGAGATAAGATATAAGAAGATACAGCTGTGATAAATTGTTTGATGAAACTTTTAGCCAAGAGTGGTTGTGAAGTAGAAAATGCATCATCAATGGTAAAGTATGTACTAGAGAAATGTTCGAATCTGGAATTTACTGGGCTAATGACCATTGGAGAATATGGCTATGATGTATCTCAAGGTCCTAATCCAGATTTCTTGACTCTGGTGGAGTGTAAAAAAAAGGTTTGTGAGGAATTAGGTCTCAATAGCAAAAGAGTGGATCTGTCAATGGGAATGTCTACTGACTTTGAACATGCTGTAAGTCTTATAAGGATTAGTTGCATACACCTATATACATCATAGTTTTTGTGTCATGTTATAGGGTTTTGGAATTTTTTATTTAAAAATTGATTAATTTCAGATTGAATTAGGAAGTTCACTGGTCCGTGTTGGAACTGCCATATTTGGGGATCGGCCAAAGAAGTCAGACTAGTTTTATAAAGTAACATTTATTTTAAAAACGGAGACGCAGTATGTTGCGGTGCTTTCAATTTTTGATTCTTTTTACAAAAGATTACTATTTGCAATGCAAAAACAATAGAATCATGTTATGTACATATCGTATATGTAAATACTAGACTATTCCAAGAACTGTTGATACATGAATGTTTATTTTTGTTATGCAATAAGTAAAGGTGTTTTATTGTTTTCATGTCGAGTAAAAGTGAATGAAAAATTTAGTTTTTGAAGCTACTTCTCGAGCGTTTTTCTTGAAACAATTCGCTGTTTCTCGCGTTCTGGAAGCCACAAAGGTTGGCACAAAACTCGATGTAGTCTATCGAGGGATCGCCTGCCTGGTCGTAAATCGGCGCCTCCTCCAAAGCTCTATCCGCGTCTTTCTCTGAAAACCTATCCCCCCTCCTCATAAGATCATTTTTTATCCTGTAACACGTATGAAGAAGAAAAATTGCTCATTATATTTCCAAATCAAAAGTTATTTTTACACATAGTCAACAGATGAGTACTTTTCCTCCACAATTAAGCCATTGTATTGACTATCCCACTTGGCAAAGGCTTTTATCAACTCGATCTCGGAGTCGAATTCCATCTCCTTGGATCTAAGTAAAAAAATTTTTTTTGTTTCTTTTTTGGTATCCAGGAAACCCAAACCAAACGTTTTATTCCGACCAAAGGTACAGATTTGGACTCACTCGAACAAACCAACAAACGCCTCGAAATCCACGGGACAGGGGCACTCGTTGAGCATGTTCTTTATTTTCTCCTCCGGCACGTTAGTCTCCCCGAGCGACGAAAAGGTAAACTTCAAATCGGTCTCCCCAATGACGCCATCGCGATCTATATCGAACAACCTGAAAACCTAAAAAAAAAAACAATCCCACCACGGCAATTTTTATCATTGAAAATAAAAAAAAGCCCAAGTCAAAAAAGTGTACTCACCTCGCTCAGCTGCGACATCATGTTTAACTTGAGCTCCTTCGTCCTCCGTTCCGCCTTGCTCATCAACTCTTTGAAAAAACTCTGCTGTACAACGTCGACCAATGAAACCTCATCGTCCCCGCTCGATACCGATTTCTCGCCCGTGTCGTGCTCACCTCCGCTCCCTTCTTCGGCGCTCTTTTTGGACTCTTTCTGTGCAGATTCGAAAAAAATGTAGGCACACCATATATTTCGATCCACCGAAAACGTATTGGGGGGGAAGAAAAAAAACTCACGCTCTTTTTCCTATCCTTGCCCGGAGCGGGTGTGTTGATGTTTTCTTCGGCCGACATTCTCCCGAAAACTTCAACCCAACGAGCAAAGTACGCGTCGACGTGCACTCGGCGAGTGGAAAATCGAGCAAAGTGCAGGGCCGCGTCTTTTATAGGAGGCGGATACGGTGGATGAAGGTACGCGGGGCCGAAACTTCCGTCGCTGGAGCCACACAGAGGGGGAGGGACGGAAATCGCGAAGAAGATCGGGTCGCTAAATTTAATCGGCCACGGAGCTTTTCCACACCTGTGCTCGTCGAATATCAGGGGAACTCGGATGTTCACATCCCACGTATACACACCCGAGATCGAGATGGTTGTTCGCGCTAAATGTGCATTGTGAGTTGATTGTGTGCTTATTTATTGTTGGTCATGTCCGGACGACCTGTTCCCATTGTAACTCATGGATCAAAAACCTCATCGAATCGTTGATTTTAAAGGTAAGGGATTTTTTTTTTTTCTTACTTTTAATCGTTATTGGTGTGGATTCACTTGTGTTTGGGAGGGATGATTTCATCAATGAGAAATATCGATTTAAATAAGCTATAATGACGGCTTCGTTATGACCGGTAGCGTGAATTTCGAACGCGTTTCGTTTGCTCGAGTTGATTGATGTCCGGCAAAATGACATTTCCGAGAGTAATAAATAATTAAGGGTGACCACATTAAATCATCACCATCATCATGCACCTGTTCCGTGCTCGTCAACAGTTGTAAGTACACGTGTATACCTCATACTCTACACCTCAAAAGCTCGCGTGCGTGGTATTAATAGTTGCGCTTAAAATCGAATCGTGGACTTGACTTGATTTTATGAAAACTCTAAAAATTTAAGCTCGCAGAAAGATGAAATTTTTCTTTCGTCACTCGGTGCAAGATTTGTGAAAAATCGTGATAGGTACAACCCACCAGGTATATACATATATTGTATAGGTTGTAATTTTTTGACCATTATTAAAAGAAATTAAAGATTGATTATTCAACTCTTTTTCTTCGGTTTACTGTCATTTTTCAATAGTTCTTTTAAAAGGAAAAAAAAAAAAAAAAACATTGCTACACAGGTGAGCTCAGTTGCATACAAGAGTTCAAATTCTACCGAGTGCAATAACTTCGCAAATGTTCTTCTAAATTATCTTTGGTTGGATACTCAAGTCAATGGAATCCAGAACTGCGAGGGTTGCTCCGAACGGTCGATCGATCATTTCACAACATCTTTTAACTGGTGAGAAGTAAATATATACTTACCGAAAATATGATATAGTATAAATAAATTATAGGTAAATATACTCTTGTAAGCTACAAACAATTATTGGAACGGTGTTAATCACCTCAATATTAAGCCTCTATAGTCAAGAATGAAGCTTTCTTAATTAGGAAAAAGCAAAGGGATAGGCATAATGTGGTTTTTAGACCAACAACCTGCCGAAAAAAATCAATTAACTTGTACCAACATTTCAATCGATTTCATTCACTTACTGTTTTTTTTTTTTTTTCTCCATGCGCACAACTACTAATAAAAAGTTTGTGCTATATAAGGCCATAAAACGTCACGTGACTCTCGCGACATATGTAGCCGTCCGTAGGAAAAATTATACAGGGCTTATGAGTAAAATTCTGTTTTTATTTTTTTTACACGTTCAACGATTGTATTAAGATAAAAGCCTTTCAATAATGTGTTTTTGAGGAGATGACAATACCTTAGCTATTTTTTCCAACTCAATTAGTCTTTTGCAGATTAAAACTTTCCTTTGAAAGGAAGAAAACGCACATTTAACCAGTTACAAGGTTCTCCCGTTTTCGACTATATATAGGAAAACAAGCAGGGTTTTGGTAAGGTTAAATGTGCATTTTCGCCCTTTCGAATTGTTTTATTAGCCGAAAACGGGGTATATTTTTTGTTCATGTATATATTTAATTTTAACGTAGATAAAATTCAGTACACAAATATAATGATGTCATGTACTCCGTTTTTGACTCGGGCGCACCAACAAATCGCAAAATTCTCGACGAGCATGCTATTGCATTGTTAGGACACAGCAAAAAGTTAATAGATTTAACTTTTCAACTAAACTATTAATATATTTAAGATTAAATTCAGTCAAAGAAATTAGTCAAGGTATTGTTTAGGTATACTTGAAAACTAAATTCATTATCAAAAATTTCATGGCAATCATATTATATTCATAAAACTTTAATGAGTAAACCTTAATTTTTTCAGCAATACATCTCCAGAAAGCAAACCAGGGGCTTTTTAAAAATTTATTTTAATGTTTTTTACAAACATTGTTACACTACAATATGCATTCTATAAAGAGCTCAAAACGGCTGCAAATAGCTGTTGTACATCAATCTCATTTTTTTATGCATTCGTTAAAATGCTCAAAAATAAAATATTTCCCGACTGTTGTCACTAGAGCAAAGTAAAAACAGTGCTTGGTATCACTCTCTAAAAAGTTAACTTTGAGCTGGATATGCTCCGAAAAATCATCGTTCATATGAACTTTAATTAATTGTACATTTTTGGCAATGTCCCCGTTCATTTCAACCTCCATCACTCTGACTTGAGCTTTCAAGTTATTTGTACCTGCCATGTTATAGTCAAATGACATAAGGATAATTCCACCTTGGCGCTGGTTAAACATCACATATCTGTACTTCTCCGTACGTGCGACTGTGGTGTTCATCATCAAGTGGCCATTCACATCGTATTGTAAACATCGAATCTCCATATTATTCCAGTTGTCCCAGTGGCAGAATGAGAAGTAACCGAAGCCGTTCGATGTCTTGGAAGGCATAATTAGTCCCATTACATTATTTATGTAATAATTTTCAACCAAAACAGTCTCGGAGCCATTGTTGGCCACGTGACTAACATTCATTAAGACACTGTAGTGGGCGCCGTTCTCAAAATTTATCAAAAATCCCCCGCTGTTAGAATCTCGTTGATCCACAACCATCCGTTCTTTATAATACTTCAAGAAAAATGGGCGTTTGGCGACTAGTTGACCTGAAAATAATCATAGAATAAAGCCAAATTTTGTTTTATCGTAAGTACTGATCTAGTATATTAGGAAACTGGCTGTGGTGGTACAACATCGTATAAAAATTACCTTTGTGGTTGTAATGGAGAATGCATGGGTTGATCTCTTTGCCACAGATAGATTTGCTCTTCGAGCAAACATAGTAACTGTCGTTGTAAACCAAGAGATGGTAGTTTTCGACAGGATAGACGAAATGGGTGGGGTTGCAGGTGTCCATGTCGACGAGGCTGATCCACTTGTATTTGCTATTATCTTCATGGCTCTTCGAGGACCACTCGTATATGAGTTTTTTTCCCGCAAGCATACTCTTCAGATCCACGTAGTATTTGGAGTCAACGCTCGACTTTAAGTTAATATCATGTGTCTCGGGTACTGTTAGCTTTATTTTGCAACTTTTTTCGGTATCGTTGACCATCTTCGTCTCGAACCGACACTCAGCCCCATGCTGGTCATCATTGACGTAGCACACCACGTAAGAAAGACTTTCATCAACATTTTCGGACACTCTGTAGTGTGAATTAGGCAAAAAATACTCGTTATAGATTTTATAAAAAGTTTCTATTCCGACCACCTGTTCAGCGAAATACAAAAGACCTACGACCACAACGACTTTTTTAAACGATGTCATTTTCTACGTTGCTACTTAATCAGAGGTTCTTTACTAAAAACGTAAGTATGAAAGTAACACAATAGATGCAATTTTCTGGATTTTTAATCGTTTTAAATAAATGTACAGGTACGTTTTGGATTTTTTAAATTACTTTAATAACCGACGTGGTAAGAAATTTTATTTTGTCGACTGACTCTCAAAATCCTAGACCGTCATTTATATGATTTAGCAGCAGCGATACGTATAATGAGACCAGGTGACCTGTATAGAGCCAGTACGCAAAGTTGGAGCAGAAATTTCTATCGAATCGTTCCCCCTTCAGTTTATACAGATAATGCGTTTCCGTTTGAAAGTAATATTTTTTGAAATATTAAAACCAAAATTTCCCTGACGAAACAGAACTGATTTGTCGTCGTTCTATTATCGAATGTAGTTTTGACAAATGACTTCATGTACATAATGCGATTTTAATTTGTTTTTCGAAAACTTCAGTTAATCTATCCTTGGTATATTATATGGTATACTATATATATACATTAGGTATGACTGCTTTACAGAAGTGACATATATTTTTACTAAAGAGCAAAATGTGTAACTAACACACTAGAAGAAATGTAAATGGACTATCTTCCAAACGTTTTGCATGTTACTTATCAAGTGAATATTTTCAGTCCGTACTCAGTCGAGAAAAAAATCTGTTTAAAAAAAATAAAACTTTTGAGCACTTATTAAGACCCAAAACTATTTTCATACGTTTGTAATGAAAAATATCATATCTTACAGGTTAAAAAATCAGTTTTTGGCTATATCTTGAAAAGTAAAAAACTTATTCCATATGCT